ATTAAAGAGGGCAAGTACTGCATGGAGCACTGGGTGTTACACGCAAACAATGAATCATGGAACACTACATCAAAAACTAATGATGTAATGTATGGTGATTAACATAACATAATAAAAAATAATAAAAATAAATAAATAAAAAGAGTTAAAAAACAAACAAAAAAAGAATCTCAACAGGACAGCCAAAAATAAAAAGGATGGGCATGAAAGCATCATTAACTCCACTGTATTCCACCACTTCAATTAGTAGGTTCCAATAGTAATAAGAATTCTAGGCAAGCTAACCAGAGGTCATACTCGTGACAAAGGTAACAGACATACTGTTTATTATGCCTTACAGAGAAATTTGTTGTATTTTTAAATACTACAGTCCTAACCTGTGTTTCGCTATAAGAGACATAAAGAATCTATCACTATATACTACTCAATCATGATCAATTTTAACTACCTATAACTCTAAAAAAGAAACATATGGTTCAGTATTGGCTACTGAGGTTAAATTCTAAGATCTGTGAATATAGTATTTGTTGACTGAATGAATAATGATTCTAAACTTGAAAAAAAAAAAGTGACCAGTTCACTCAGTTGGTGCCCAATTCTAATGAAACCTGGCTACAGATTCCATCCCTAATAGATTGTCAGTCACAGCTGTCCCAGGGCGCCTGGGTGGCTCAATCGTTAAGCATCTGCCTTCGGCTCAGGTCATGATCCCAGGGTCCTGGAATCGAGCCCCGCATCCGGCTCCCTGCTCAGCGGGAGGCCTGCTTCTCCTTCTCCCACTCCCCCTGATTGTGTTCCCTTTCTCGCTGTGTCTCTGTCAAATAAATAAAATCTTAAAAAAAAAAAAAAAATCCCAGCTGTCCCACAAATCCAGTATCAATTTTCTCAAAAGCAGTCCAACCATTCCTTTTTCCCAGAACCTTTTATTCACTGTATTACAATTGTTAAGAGATGAGTCTCCAGGACCAGCCTGCCTAGAGTTTTGAATCCAGGCTTTGCCATGTATGAGCTATGTAATCCTGGGCAAGAGACTGAATTTCTCTGGACCTCAATTATTCCTCTATAAAACAGGGATAATAATAGTTGAATTACTGTGAGGACTCCATTACATAATTATGTAAAGCACATAGCTCCATGCCTAGAATAAAGTATAGATCAGTAATGTAAGTGATACAAGAGAGTATTTAAAGTTTTATAGGGGCGCCTGGGTG